TGATGGCTCGAGGGATTTCAAACCCAGTGATGATGTTTTGCTATACAAGTTTCTTTGTTTCGATATCCCGAATGTGGCTCAGGGGCTCGGCTTCGACCCACTTTGTAAAATAATTAGTGGCTACTAGTAGAAATTTTGTTTAAAGGGGCCCTTGGGAGAGGTCCCACAATATCCAACCCCCACTGAGAGAACGGCCAAAGACTCGTCAATAAGTTTATATCTCTTGTTGGTTGTTAGATGATGGGNCCAACCCCCACTGAGAGAACGGCCAAAGACTCGTCAATAAGTTTATATCTCTTGTTGGTTGTTAGATGATGGGAGCGGATTTCTAACACTTATCACATTTTCGAACGTACCTCTTAGCATCCTTCTACATGTACGACCACCAATACCCCTGAGACATTGCTCGGTGTGCGAAAGATCTCCCTCCAGTATGAGTCCCACATACAGCCTCATGAATTTCATAAAGCAAAGGTTCTATGTTTTCCTCGGGGATACAGAGCAAATTCGGCCCTAAGAAGGATCTCCTATAAAATTGATGATCGGNGGAGCGGATTTCTAACACTTATCACATTTTCGAACGTACCTCTTAGCATCCTTCTATATGTACGACCACCAATACCCCTGAGACATTGCTCGGTGTGCGAGAGATCTCCCTCCAGTAGGAGTCCCACATACAGCCTCATGAATTTCATAAAGCAAAGGTTCTATGTTTTCCTCGGGGATACAGAGCAAATTCGGCCCCAAGAAGGATCTCCTATAAAATTGATGATCGGCAGATATCCAGAACCTGGGAGTTTTGAGTTTGATCTTCCTTACTTTTTTGATGTCCTCGGGGAGTGCTCTTTCCATCAAATATGTGACTATGAGATCCATCCATCTCAAAGGCACTCTTTGCATTTGCGTCGGCAACACTTGTTCGGCCTTCGTTTCTTCTGTACTCGGGCTCTCCTGGTTTTCAATGACAATGTGCCAAATTACCTCCGAGGCCAATGTCGAGGCTAGAGAGGTTAACGCGTCAACATGCGNACTATGAGATCCATCCATCTCAAAGGCACTCTTTGCATTTGCGTCGGCAACACTTGCTCGGCCTTCGTTTATTCTATACTCGAGCTCTCCTGGTTTTCAATGACAATGTGCCAAATTACCTCCGAGGCCAATGTCGAGGCTAGAGAGGCTAACGCGTCAACATGCGTATTGTGATCTCTTGAAATTTGGGATACTTCCACTTTCTCTAACTTCTCAATTTTGGATTTTGCCTTCTAATGGTATGCATTCATCTTGCTGTCTCGAACCTCGAAATTGCCATTAATCTGATTCACTACCAGCTGTGAGTTGCAGAAAACATGGAGGTGCCTAATCCCGATCGAGTATGCGATATCGAGTCCTGCCAACAGCGCCTTGTACTCAACATAATTATTGGATGCTTTGAACCCCAACCTGATAGCTCGCTCTATTATGAATCCACTAAAACTGGCTAGTACTACACCTATCACTACCCCCTTGCGCTCGAGAACCCATCAACATGAAGGTTCAAAACATCATCATCAAAAGCTATCACCACTTGTGGGGGCTCGAACGTAGAGAACTCGACAATAAAATCGGCAAGGATCTGCCCTTTAATTGAAGTACGGGATTTGTACCTTATTTCGAACTCCCCGAGTTCCACTACCCACTTGACAACCCTTCCTGACATGTTANTGGGGGCTCGAACGTAGAGAACTCGACAATAAAATCGGCAAGGATCTGCCCTTTAACTGAAGTACGGGATTTGTACCTTATTTCTAACTCCCCGAGTTCCACTACCCACTTGACAACCCTTCCTGACATGTCAATTTTATGAAGAATGGACTTGAGAGGTCGATCAATTAAGACTTCTATAGAGTGCACCTGAAAATAGTATCTGAGTTTCCTTGTTGAAACTACCAACACCAAAATAAGCTTTTCCATAGGCAGGTATCGCGCTTCGACATCAAGCAAGGTCTTACTTACGAAGTAGATGGGCCTTCAATCTTGCTGCTTACTACTTCGCCAACTGCCACTTCCTGATTGCCCGAAATCATCGAGCCGATCCTGCACCTTGGCATTATCCTTCTCAAGTTGCTTAATGCGGTTTCCCATCCGCTTTTCCACGAATTTAATGATTTCACGAGTCAAAAGGCATTGCCCCCCGAAGCCTTGATCCACGAGAAAAGTTTGTTGTTAGGCATGTTCGCCTTCTTTTGACTGGCTCAAGGAGCTTGATTCTGTGACCGCTGGGAGCCAAGTAGAATCTGCATTCCTCACGCGTAAGCTTTCCCCCATCACCTCGAGATCGTATGTTCACCATGATACAATTGCTATTGGAAAAGTTTGATTTTTTCCCACAGAAGGCGCCGGATTGCATGGGAGAATTCCTGCAATAAATACGGATAGCAATCCTCTCAATGATGGACCTAAAACAACCACAAGGTTAGAAAAAAAGAGTCGGATGAACACCCAGTTTATCCCCTCTGAAGCTTATGTCAGTAAAAGTTTGGAGGCTTTAGCACAATGTTTCTTTTTTCTCAATTTTATTTTTATACTTTTGTTCATTTTTCTGAGAAGTATTTATATTTGGATTAGTAATGAATGTAAAGACTTGGAGTGTCATAGAAACATTTAATGATTTGTACTCTTATCCATGCGTAATGAGTGTTCTCCACTCAGATTCTCGAGGTTGGTTCTCCTCAAGTGATAGGCTGACTGCTCAGGGCATGCCAAGCATTTATGACCCTAACCCCGGTCATTCAAGTATATCTGATCAGTGGTTGACCCCTACTCCCGAATGTTCAATGCTTGGGGAACAGTACCTCAGGGTACACCGAGGAGATATGCTTGGCACAATAGCTATTAATGCTTTGTAATCATGACTGTCAGTTTGGGTCTTGAAGATTCAGTAACTCATTAATTACCCTATCACAGTCACTCATGTCTTCATTCATGAGCTATCAAATCTTCTTAAATGTTGGTGTCAATACGTGTACTCGGCTCCTCCGAGCCATTATTCCTCGACGCCACCTCTTGGCGCTTTTTGAGTTCCATAATGACTACATCTTTACAAGTGCCGATCTGGGGGCTGCTGAGCCGCATAAATTCCTGTCAGTTACTCTGCATGCATGGATAAAATTGTGTACGTCTGATAATTTTCAAACGTAGGCCTAGTAATTCTAGATACGATTTGTGAAACTGACATGAACCCAACATAGATTTAGCGCGTTTGGGTGTAGTCTTAATGAGTTCGAGTGGTTAACGGGTTAACTCGACAGACCCGTAAAATAAATGAAACGGTTTCGTGTTTAACTCATAAACTCTTTTTAACCCGTATAAGCCGTTAACAGTGGTATTTAGTAGTCATTCAATGTTAATTTTTTGTCTTTATTTTTTTTTGCTCAGCCATAATTTATTGTTATAACAAACAGGTCAAACATGTATAATGTGTAGCGAGTTAATGATTTTTTGTGTGGACTCGAAATACTCTAACATATTCTCTTATTTAACAGATGACTCATGAATTATATTTGGTAATCCATCTAATAAACGATTCATGTATGATTATGATAATTAGTCTCGTTTATACAAATGAGATATGGATACTTTGTGAACACTTTGTTTTCTTGAGGTTAAAAGTTCAAATCTTCATCCCCTGTCCAAAAAAAAAATAGATATGAATAGAGATTTTTTTAACATAAACCCGTTCCACTCGACACAATTGTCAGGCCTACTCATACCTCACAATAACAACAAAAATTTTGTGTAGTGGTTCGCAATATTTGTATAAAAAGAAGGGCAACAGAACAGATCCAGAAGAAATCTCTTTGGTCACAGTCGCAGGGCATTGTAGCAGTGGGCTTTCCTTTTGGATCAAAGCAGAAAACAGAGGGAAAACTGTGGGAGGGAACAGAATCCCCAAAGCCTTGTCTTTTGCTTCGATGCGAAGTGAAACATCCGAAAATGTTCTTGGCCATGGCAAAGAACTCCGCGTAATGACGAAATTACAAACATCATTTCTTGTCTAAGAGAAAAGCAAGCACATGTCCCCGACGTCATTGGAACAAAAGCAACCAATTTATGCATGTCATTCAACATCTCAAGCGACTGGTGAACTTGCTAGACTCATCAAGCCATTGTACAGTGTCATAGTATCGTTTACTGATTCAAAAAAATTTGAGATATATCGATCCTGATATCACAGCGCAATACTAAACGATATGTTTTAAAAAAAATGTTGATTATGACGTGAAATTCAAGTTATAATTATGACATCGCAGAACCATGATCAATCGATTAAATGACGATAACTCAACGATTTTGAATTAAGTCAAATACAATTCAAATTACTCAACTGAGGCGAGACTTGAGATTTATATAATAACATCCTCTCAAAAGACACCAAGTTAGATAGTAGTCAAAACTTTGTTCATTGTAACAATCACTCACTCCCAAATTGTTATGACCAATTAACAAATGTTATTTAAGGGTTAAAATTTAGTACCAATTAAGACATGCCATTTAAAAAAGATTCATCTTCTTCTATTATTAAATATTATTTTATTAATTTCTTTTATATAAAGGAAATAACAAAAAATTAACTTCTTTTTATATAAAGGAAATAACAAAAAATTAACAACATGAAGTCCTAAAATTTTGTTTCCTTAAAGCAATGCGATATTCATGTACTTCTGAACAACACGCTTTTCAGTAAAAAATTAAATAAATAAGAATTGGATAATATCCATAGCCCCTACTCAACAACCCGGTCAATGATGGCTGCGCTCATGATCATCTATATTCACATATCTCCACGTGTACAATACAAAGACAATAGTCGATCGATGAGTGCGACGTGGCAAAAACCCACTTCTCCATCTAGACTGACAGTTGGCAAAAATGTCTGACTTTTTTGACACTTTCATCGTTCTAACACGCCGTCGCGTGACTTTTCTGTCAAGTTAAATACTTTCTCCGAGTTAGCTTTTGAGTCAACTCGCTACTCCCCGCTCTATATCCAACTCAGTCCCCACCGACGACCCACCAGAGCTCGACCCGGTATCGGATCCTCTTCTATTCATACTGATAATTCTCTTCAGAGAGAACAAACGAGCACCAGGCGATTTGAACCCCTGACTCGCTGGTGAACTCAGTCCCAACTCGTCCCCTGACTGATTTCTTCTTGGCACCTCTATCGTCACACCCACCATGTCCTTAACCTTCCTCCGAGACTCCATTGAAGTAGAAGCGCTCTGTTCCTCTTCCTCCTCGTGTGGACAGGCAAGGCATAACACAGAACTTGAACCCGGTTCAGTCTCACCCACTGAAACCACTACATCGGACCGGTTGTTTTCGGCGGCCTGAACCGGTTCAATCAGTGACCGGCAAATTGGGCAAGTGGAGTGAGCGTGAAACCACATGTCAATACAATCTACATGAAAAGAATGGTTACATTTAGGTAAAAGACGACCTTTCTCATTCTCTTCGAATTCCGATAAGCACACGGCGCATTCTAGCGTTTCCGGGTGGGTCTTGGGGGAGTAGATGAACTCTGGAAGTAAGTTCAGGACCGAAGGTTCAAGGCCGCGAGTGGCGGTGGAATTGGGATTGTCGACGTAAAAGACGAGGTTGGCGCGGCGGCGGGCGCGGCTGCGGCTGCGGCGTCGGCGGACAAGGACTTGTCTCCTTTGAGCGCGGAGGAGGTACCACCGAGCGTAGAGATGGAGGACTACCATGACGACCACAACGACGAATAAGATGATTATTGCGCTTAGCATGATTTTGCCACTCAGTGCGTAGCTCTTTGGTGGGTTTTCCAATGGGTCATGGGGGCCGCCATTGTCAGTAATGTCCCCCATGTGTGTGTGTGTGTGAGAGAGAGAGAGAGAGAGAGAGAGAGAGAGAGAGAGAGAGATGGGGTGTGGATGGCTTGACGGAGTGTTGAAGCAGAGGGTGGCTTTATATTATATTTGGGTAGGGGGAGGAGCGAGAAAAGGAGAGGAAGGTTCTTGATGGTTTCAGTGGTGTTCTCCGAGATGCTTACATGTTGTTGAAGTGTGTAAGAGGCGCCTTGGTTGACGCGGGATTCTTTGAAATGACGGAATTGGCCTTCTATTATGAGCAAAGGAGTTAGAATATATTACGATGAAATACTATAATATATCCCAAATTTATAATTTAAATTTGTATCAAATGAAGAAAAATCATTAGATAAGTGGATTCTATCAACTTTTTTAAATAAGACTCACTCATCCAATGGTCATCCTTAATTTATGATGCAAATTTGGGTTAAAGATTGAGGATACATAACATTGCTCTATTACGAAACGTTATGAAAGACGATAGAAGCAAAACACGATGTGAAATTATAAAATTTGAATTTTTTTTAAGTCATTTATTTTGTAAATAAGTAGATTTGATATAATACAATTAAAAAATAAATTGAATATGAATGAAGTCAATTAAAAAAAATATACGATATAACTCGTATACACATTAATTATATACAAATCATCCAATACGACTCGTATACACATTAATTATATACAAGTCATTTGCGACACGAATTTAATATATCATGATTTATTAAATATAAATCAATAATGAATTAAGTATAAATAATAATATTTTTAATATGAATCTATTAAAATTCAACATAAACCCAACTTCACACTAGTAAGATGGCTAGTTATGAGTCTACAAAGCCAGTAGACTCGTTTAAGTTTGGTGGGTTTGTTGATGAGGAGACTCGTTAAGTTTGGTGGAGTTGTTGGCTCCTAATAGCCTTTGCCAATAATTTAAGCATCCAAAATGCTCGTCAACAGTATTAAGTGTACCATCTCCTCCCCCCAAAAAAAATAAAAAAAAAAAATTCTCTCTCTCTCTCTCTCTTTCTTGATGGTAGATTTTTTTTTTGGTAAGTACTCTTGGTGGTAGAGTTGTTATACCTGTTTTGATAGAAACTGAGGTTTTGCTTGGACTTTGGACTGTTTAGTCAAAGGATTTGTGAGCCCAAATGAAATTTACGGCTCCTTCAGCTGGGCTTGTTATTGATATGGTGGGCTTGTTATTTATATGGAGAACTCTTCTCCATATGGACCCTTGGAGATTGCTTCCAATAGCCAATTTGATTTCACCAACCAATTTGAAAGATTACAAAATAAGAGTAGTGACCCTCATTTAATTCATTATTATAGTAGTTATTAGATGTAATGATTATAAAACAAGTACCTGAAGCTAATGGAGTGTTGGATTGATCTATTTTAGACCGTTAGAAAAGTTTATTAAAATATATCTTATTTTATATTATAAATTATTAGAGTAGTGGGGTTGTCAAACATCAAACAAAATATAGATGTGATTATATTAATCTAAAAAAGTGTCTTGAAGTAGATCCGAATTATAAGGATGTGGTTCTAACAATAATATAGTAGTATACTATACTAGCATTAATAATCTTGGACCCAAAATAAAGTAAAGGATCCATCCAATGTGTGCTCCACCTTACTTCATGCGTGGGATACTAAATGCCATTTAAAATTGGGGTGCGTACCATTGCGAGTCCAATTAAAATTCGCGAGTGCATTTACTAGACTTCCCAAATACCAACGGCCATTCCCACCTTGAGCCCCCAATGAGCTACTTGCATTGAACACCCCCCTCTCTCTCTCCTCTTCCCTTCTTCAAAAAGTGAAAAACTATAGCCTCTATCTCACCTTCTCCTTGACTTAGAAACACTCTGAGAAGACCAAAAACAACCCAAATCTTCAAGCAACTCATCAAGTAGAAAAAGAGTTCAAAGACACAAACTATGTCAAACAAGTCCCCAATATTCCCAATGCCTGAGCCTCATCACTTCAGTGACTATGGCTTTGACCCTCAAATCGATTATTTTCAGGTACTCTCTCTCTCTCACACACACACACTGTCACTCATATATTAGCTTTCTCACTTTAGATTGTGTATATGACAAGGTTTTGGAAGAAGCAAGGAAGCACAAGAGAGAGGCATCAAGATCCATAGATACAATACACTTCAAGCTGCAAAAACCCACCTCGAGAGACGAGTCGTCCAAGAAGATCAAGAAACGTTGGTNTTCAGTGACTATGGCTTTGACCCTCAAATCGATTATTTTCAGGTACTCTCTCTCTCACACACACACACTGTCACTCATATATAGCTTTCTCACTTTAGATTGTGTATATGACAAGGTTTTGGAAGAAGCAAGGAAGCACAAGAGAGAAGCATCAAGATCCATAGATACAATACACTTCAAGCTGCAAAAACCCACCTCGAGAGACGAGTCCTCCAAGAAGATCAAGAAACGTTGGTGGAAGAACGCTCTGCTCTTCTTTAAGCTGAAATGGACCCACCATGACAACAAACCCAGCTCTGGTTTCAACAACAATGGGGTCCACTGTGGACGCTCCATCAGAGGATCAATCTCAGGCCCTATGTACGTCACTGAGAGCAGAAGTGGGTCAAGCACACCTTACCGTACTACTAGCCGGCCATCATCCGGCCCACTCGCCGGAACTCTGACTCCGGCGACGAAGGGGGAGGTGGAGATTCCGTACATCAACCTCAGGGAACTCAACATGGACCAGCAACAACTACATCACCGGATCTCCACCTCGGCCATGCCTATCTATTTGGTCACGTGATATACTCATTTTAGTTTGAAGCTTTTTCAGTTGGGTTTGTTGGTTTGATTCTTTTTTCTTTGTTATTTTTTTTTTTGGGTGGTTTTGTGGCCACTTTTCTGCACAAAAGGTGCTTTAATGGCTTTTGTGAGGAAGAAATTTGATGGTTCCTCCTTTTCCTTGTGTGGGTCACTCACTTATATATATTGATTTCTGCAACTAATGAAACAAACAATTGTTTGACTCTGTCAGTTACNGGGTGGTTTTGTGGCCACTTTTCTGCACAAAAGGTGCTTTAATGGCTTTTGTGAGGAAGAAATTTGATGGTTCCTCCTTTTCCTTGTGTGGGTCACTCACTTATATATATATTGATTTCTGCAACTAATGAAACAAACAATTGTTTGACTCTGTCAGTTACCCACCATGACCTTTTCTTTTTCTTTTCTTTACGTTTCTTTTCTGTTCTGTTGTGTTTTCCCAGGAAAGTGATGGGTTTTTTTTGGTCAAAATGCGCGCATATTTGCAGAGTTTATCAGTCAGATCCGTTATTTTATATCCATTTGCTTCCGTTTGTCGCCATTGATACGGCGTGCATCTAAATTTAGTGACCGTTATGGGCTTTGTGGGGCAGCAAGATTTTCCGGGTCCACATTCTAATTAATAAAAAATATGTATGTAATCAAGGCATGAAGTTAATTATACAAACTCTAAAACATGTATGTGGGAGGAAAATTTTGTACTTTAATAATGATGAAATCGATGATGATTGATTTAGATATCAAAAAACATTAAACCTATAGAAGTTTTTTCAATCGAAGACACTATAATGTTTCGGTCGATAAAAAAACTTTGAAGTTAAACAAACAACTAAAGATAAAGAAATAATACACCAGGATAGATGGTCACCATCCTAGAGAACGGATAATGATCGTAGGTGCAACGGTCTTAATCGGATATAACAGAGATGAGTTGTAAATTTAAATATCGTGAATTTAAATCTTTATAATTTCTTATAGTTAGTTCATAAATAATTTATCCCTTATGAATACTTTAGTTTTGATGTAGATGATCTATTTTTGATCAAATCGAATAGGATNTCATAAATAATTTATCCCTTATGAATACTTTAGTTTTGATGTAGATGATCTATTTTTGATCAAATCGAATAGGGTATTAATTGAGGTACTCGTAAAATAGTTCGAACACCTTTGATGATTAAAAAAAACAAAAAAAAAAGTGCGTAGTTTTAAAATTAAATTGATCCAATATTTATGGGAGTGCACTTCACTGAACAATTTGGCAACCAGACACTGCCATCAGTGGTGAAACTCAGAAATGTCATTGTCCAAGCGCAAAGCTACAAAATAGCAAGCGGCTGCATTAATCGTAAAGTGGTACGACACCCAAAAAAAATGCCGGAAAATCTAATTTGAGAATTTAAATATAAATTTAATTAAATATAATTATTAAATTAATTATGAATTCTATCGAAAGTCACCATTGATCCTATATATAAATTGAATTAAGTATTTAAATTATATCCTAACTTAAGTTTAAATAACATTTTCTCGTATGGATAGTCCACTACAAAATTACATTTAGAGTTTATTACAAACATGAATCATAAATTATTCCATTTATGTCCATTAAGACTCTTAACATNATTATATGAAAGTCACCATTAATCCGATATATAAATTGAATTAAGTATTTAAATTATATCCTAACTTAAGTTTAAATAACATTTTCTCGTATGGATAGTCCACTACAAAATTACATTTAGAGTTTATTACAAACATGAATCATAAATTATTCCATTTATGTCCATTAAGACTCTTAACATTATTTTTTTTGTCAATATAACCCCTCAACTATGCAATCAACAACACGACAGTAACCTTGAACTTCCATCACTCCTAAGAATAATCGCCACCTAAATTAACCTAAGTCATATATTTATTATTTTTCAGTACCCTATATCTCATTTTCTCTNGAACTTCCATCACTCCTAAGAATAATCGCCACCTAAATTAACCTAAGTCATATATTTATTATTTTTCAGTACCCTATATCTCATTTTCTCTCTAGTATTGAGGGGCAACCCCAAATGTATTTACGGTATCCTTCTAAAGTTGTTTCGGTCTTGCACATGTCCAAGCAAAACCCACGTATCAGGTCCAAACTAAGCTGTTGGAATTTTTGAAATTATAATAGGTCTAAACTGTAATACTTATGAATATTTTTTTTTGAAAATTGATATTTCAAATTCATTTACTNTGTACTTTAATAATGATGAAATCGATGATGATTGATTTAGATATCAAAAAACATTCAACTTATAGAAGTTTTTTCAATCGAAGACACTATAATGTTTCGGTCGATACAAAAATCTTGAAGTTAAACAAACAACTAAAGATAAAGAAATAATACACCAGGATAGATGGTCACCATCCTAGAGAACGGATAATGATGGTAGGTGCAACGGCCTTAATCGGATTAATCGGATATAACAGAGATGAATTATAAATTTAAATATCGTGAATTTAAATCTTTATAATTTCTTATAGTTAGATCATAAATAATTTATCCCTTATGAATACTTTAGTTTTGATGTAGATGATCTATTTTTGATCAAATCGAATAGGGTATTAATTGAGGTACTCGTAAAATAGTTCGAACACCTTTGATGATTAAAAAAAACAAAAAAAAAAGTGCGTAGTTTTAAAATTAAATTGATCCAATATTTATGGGAGTGCACTTCACTGAACAATTTGGCAACCAGACACTGCCATCAGTGGTGAAACTCAGAAATGTCATTGTCCAAGCGCAAAGCTACAAAATAGCAAGCGGCTGCATTAATCGTAAAGTGGTACGACACCCAAAAAAAATGCCGGAAAATCTAATTTGAGAATTTAAATATAAATTTAATTAAATATAATTATTAAATTAATTATGAATTCTATCGAAAGTCACCATTGATCCTATATATAAATTGAATTAAGTATTTAAATTATATCCTAACTTAAGTTTAAATAACATTTTCTCGTATGGATAGTCCACTACAAAATTACATTTAGAGTTTATTACAAACATGAATCATAAATTATTCCATTTATGTCCATTAAGACTCTTAACATTATTTTTTTTGTCAATATAACCCCTCAACTATGCAATCAACAACACGACAGTAACCTTGAACTTCCATCACTCCTAAGAATAATCGCCACCTAAATTAACCTAAGTCATATATTTATTATTTTTCAGTACCCTATATCTCATTTTCTCTCTAGTATTGAGGGGCAACCCCAAATGTATTTACGGTATCCTTCTAAAGTTGTTTCGGTCTTGCACATGTCCAAGCAAAACCCACGTATCAGGTCCAAACTAAGCTGTTGGAATTTTTGAAATTATAATAGGTCTAAACTGTAATACTTATGAATATTTTTTTTTGAAAATTGATATTTCAAATTCATTTACAATGAAATGAAAAAATTATCCTTTTTATTAGTTAAGTCTTTTTTGTTTTCGTACATGATAATAATAAGATTTAGGGTATGGGCCGCGATGATCAAGAGCCCAATAAATTTAGAAAGCCTCTATTAGCACAGTGATCCAAATTGATCGCAACAGCTTGTCCACGACAAGAATAAAATATATCATGCACAAAAGGTAAAGCCCAGCAGTACCAGAAGACTTGAAGACTAACCCAGCCTGAATCCAACTCAACCAAAAATCAGCTCGGGTCAAAGGAGTTCAACCCAATACATATCTAGGAATTTTCCATTGCGCCACATGTCCCGAGAACAGAGGGATCACTTCTAACACCCATAAAAAATACTCACTCTCTATCACAGAGAATATTGGTGCGTGGAACCACTCAAGATCTGTGGGTGTAGTAACATCATGTGACAGAGATCGCTATAAGACAAAAGTAGAAGGGCCCACAACATCAACAGAAAGGAAGCAGGACGTCCAAGAAACCCTAGAAGAATCACTTCTATAAATAGGACACCATTACACTACAGTAAAAAGGGGACCATCTTCCTCGCTACATTCTAAGCCATTTACACAGAAAAGTTTGAGTTATCTGAGCATCTTCTTGTAAAGGCCCTGAGCCAACAATACCTTTATAATCACCTATTTCGAATAATACACAACCCCCAAGAGCAAAAGACTCTCTTACTGTGGACGTAGCCTTAGTCTTTTGTTTAAGGTTAACCACTCATTAACCCTAGGCTAACTGGCCTCAGTTCTAGACTTAGGCTAAACTATTTCCGAGCACCACCAGTACACTTTAAAATACACCATAACTTAAAATTTAACACTATATGTTATTGGCCAAGAATAAACAAGAAAATGGACAATTAAAATTGTTGAGAATTGCATACACATTGTGGAAGCATAGGACCAAATACATACCTTGTTCGCTTAAATCCTAAAAATCCTTTGAGGATATTCCACGTACTTTATAATCCAAATTAACATCTTTTCTATAATTGCTCAAACAATATAGTGTTGTTACATAAGACAAATCATTAGATTTTTCACAGCACAAAAACCTTACAAATGTTATGTAGGGAGAGAGTAGAAAGTTTTAACGTTAGATAAATTATCAGAAGGTATCTCATATATTGGATTGTCTTGGGTTTATATAGGCAACCAATGAGTGTCTTTTAAGAGACACATTCTATAGGGACATGTCTCTTAATATTTAATAAACATGTATTTTAGGTGGTAAAGAATATCTCCAAAAGATATGCCTCTTTGGGCATTCTTTAATTTGGGTCAACCCATCATAGGCGCCCCGATTCGAATCCATAACCCAATCAATATCGAACAAAAATAATACTAAGAGAAATAAAAATGAAAAAGGAACTTAATATCCAATGGCATTCGATTCGAGAATATCCCTCAATTTATTTAAAAAAAAAACTACATGTCATCCCACAATTATGGAGATAAATATTGGCAAAAAAATATTTTTCTTTCATACCCAAAACTATTTTTTTTTGGTAAATAAA